TACCTATACCCAAAATTAAAAACTCAACGGATTTATGCCACTTAATTTTGCTGGTGCCCTAATTTCATTTGGGGGGGGCTGTGGTGTCCCTGTTAGGCCGCAGGTGCCTCTGACAGGTTCGTGGTGCCGCTGGAAGGAACGTGGTGCCCCTGACAAGTCTGACGTGCCAAAGACAGACCTGTGGTGTCCCTGACATACCCATGGTGCCCCTGCGAGGCCGGTGGACCCCTGCTAGGCCGGTGATGCCCCTGCTAGGCCGGTGGTGCCCCTGGCTGGCCTGTGGTGCCACTGCTAGGCCGCTGGTGCCCCTGGGCCCTGACAGGACTGTGGTGCCCCTGACAAGCCTGGAGTGTCCCCGACAGGCATGTGGTGCCCCTGACAGGCCCGTGGTGCTCTTGCTAGGCCTGTTGTGCCCCTGACAGGCCTGTGGTGCCCCTGGTGTGCCTGTTGCCCCTAGGCCCAGACAGGACTGTGGTGCCTCTGACAAGCCTGAAGTGCCCCCGACAGGTCCGTGGTGCCCCTGTGAGGTCGATGGTGCCCCTGGCAGGTCTGTGGTGTCCCTGGCAGACCTGTGGTGCTCTTGCTAGGCCGATGGTGCCCCTGCTATGCCTGTGGTGCCCCTGTTAGGCTTGTGGGGTCCCTGCTAGGCCGGTAGTGCCCCTGGCAGACCTTTGGTGCCCCCGGGCTCCAGGGGGGTCATGACCCATGTGACCCCCCCCTTGGATCCGCCACTGCACTCACTGACATCGGTACTGGCGTCGGCTGGAAACCGGCGGGGGACGGGGGTCATGACTTCCCCGAATTTTATTCCCCCTCAAGTTTTCCTGTAAAAGTAACCCTGCCTATGTAGTGTGAAAAATTATCCAATTTGGTTAAGAATGCAGGAAGTTACTCAAGTTTCAAATCGGGAATTTGACGCGAGTCACCCTGTAGCACAAATTTCTTGAACGCCAGACATTAGGTAGCTCTGGTGGTTGCAACCGAGATAGATGAACCATAGTTTTCAGCCTGGCCACAGACTTGACTATCTCAACTCAAAACTGGCGCAGGTAAAGGTGGGGCAGTACCTTTAACCATTGAGCTTATTGTCGCCCTGCAGCAGGTCAGGCACCTGCAACCCAGCAGCAGCCTGCACCAGCTGACGCCCTTCCTGGATTCCAGCGGCCTGCTCAGAGTCGGCGGACGACTTCGGCACGCCCAGCGCAACTATGAGACGAAGCATAAAGTGATGTTATCTGCCCGTGGAGTTATCATCCGGCTGATCGTCACCGACCCACACAGGAAGCTCGCCCACGCCAGGACGGAGCACGTCCTGACTCACCTGAGCTAACAATACTGGATCAGGTCTCTCTGCGGCAGAGAGACCGTGAAACGATTCACACGCGCTTGCACACCCTGTCGAAAAAGGTCAGCACAGCCGCTGCCACCACGAATAGGTGACCTGCCAGCCTTCCGCATGAGCGGGCCGGCGCCAGTGTTCGCGCGAGTGGGCGTGGACTTCTTTTGACCGATGACCGTCAAGAAACGCCGAAAACGAGAGAAACGGTACGGGTGGGTGTCACTTCACATGCCTGTTCACCCGTGCGGTCCACATCGAGCTCGCCCACTCATTGGACACTGACTTATTCATCATGGCCATGAGACCCATGATGGCCAGACGAGGCAAGGTCAGACTCGTGTGCTCTGGCAAGGTACAATTCTGCGCGCCGACGAGCGTGAGCTGCGGCAGGCGCTCCAGCACTGGCACCAGTCCAAGATCGCCGACACTCTCACAAGAAGGGTTTGATCGACTCTTCAAACCACCGGCCGCGCGGCACTTCGGCGGCGTGTTCGAGCACGCGGTCAGCCAAACGCGCCCTGGCAGCTATGCTTGGTGACAGGGTCGTTGACGACGAGACGCTGCAGACGGTGGTGACTGATGTCGAAGCGCTCCTGAACGGACGTCCGCTGACGCACGTCAGCACCGATCCTGACGTCTACCAACCTCTGACACCGAACTACTTCCTCATCGGACGAGCCTCCCCTCAGCTGTCGCCCGGTGTGTTCACCGACAGTGACATGTGCAGCCGACGGCGCTTGAAGCACACGCAGGTGCTGCTGGTTCATTTCCGGCAACGCTGGCGGCGGGAATATCTGCCCACGCTGACCGCGCGCTCCAAGTGGTTCAGGGACAAGACCGAGGTCAAGGTCGGAGAGCTAGTACTGCTGTCCGAAGAAAACGTAGGCCGCGTGGACATTAGCTGGTGGGACGAGTGGAGCGTGTGATACCCGGCGCAGACGGCTGTATTATTCGCGTCGTGGACGTGGCGACTGCCACCGGTCAATGTAGGCGGCCTGTCACCCGCCTCTGCCGACTGGAGTGCGACGGTAATGGCTGTTGGAGCCAGGCTGAAGTGTCTTGTGCGGTGTTAGATTTGTTTATGGTAGTGCTTCCAAGCTAGCGGTAGTCTCTGTTCGCGTACGTTCACTTCGGTAATTAATGTGAGTTCTGTGTTGTACGCTTTGCGATGGTTGTTGATGTGCCGACCATGTGACAGCACCTTCACTGCCGCCAGTGCCTCTCAAGCGTTTGTACTTAACGATATGTGCCAGTGTGTGTGTCACTGTGTCAACGTCCAGCTGCTAAGACCGCTAAGACTGCGCCGTCACTGGTTTTATGAATGGTCGCGTGATTGTTGTCGGGAATGATCTCCGCCTCGGTGAGACACTAATGTGTATTGTACGCAAGTGTGTGTTTGTAAAGTGTGCGCGGATGCGAATAGTTTAAGCGTGTCAGTGTAGTTTGAATGATTGTTCGTTTGTGGTTTGATTTTCCGCGGATGATTGCGAAAAAAACCGGGCCGGCTATGCAAGCGAGCAAAGACGGCCGGCGCTTGGCACGGTCGGTCCGCCGCACCAGCGCACATGTGTGTGTCATGTTACCCCTGTCCTGGTTCTTATATATATAGACAATATAGACTTTTATGCACAAATTTTTACATTATATAGGTATAGACTCTTTATAGACTTTTACGACAGAGGGCCCACGTGTTGTGTACCGTGAGGGCTGAGACGGGACGGGGCCGGACAGTCTTCGACGCGACTCCGCCGGTGCGAGGCCGCGCGGGCGTACGACGTGGCCGACGTGCCATTTTTTAAAAATAAATTTAGTTCGAATGTTTGAATGGACGGATTGACAGAGCCGAGGCCAATGCTAAGCAGAGCTTGTTGCGTAGAACCCGACTCCTACCGCCCGATCGCGCAATTCCGGGTAACGGGAGAATTTAGATGCCAAAGTTTAACGTGCCCTTCAAAGCCGGACACGGCCTGTCCCACTCGACTGACTTCAACTGGCTGCGGATGCTCCCACCAACCGCAGACGATCCCCGTCAGGAGTCTCAAATATCGAGCGCCGGAGCGACTCGAACCCGGGCTCTCACTACCGGGAGTCGGTGCTCTACCAACTGAACTACGGGACAGGCCATAACGCGAACGACGAATTGCACTGCACCTGTGGTCGCCATATTTTAACCTTTTTAGCCGTATGGCTATCATTCCAGAATAGACTTTTACATAGACGAACAATAACTTTATATAGTACTCCAGGTGACGAACGAGTACGAGTAGTACGAGTGAACGAGTACGGATACGCGCAAACAGCAGGGGAAGAGCTGGGGGTAGAATATGCCGACCCCTTACATGCCGTGCAATGCATTAAACACCCACTGACAGGGCTGCGGAGTCGATGGATTTACGGCGACTCCGACTCCGACTCCGACTCCGGCTTTCAAAAACCAACTCCGACTCCGACTCCGACTCCGGGCAGAAATGTCGACTCCGATCGACTCCAACTCCCGACTCCGACTCCGCACACCTGGCAGGGCTGCGGAGTCGACAGATTTTCGGTGACTCCGACTCCGACTCCGGCTGGGGTTTCCAATATCGACTCCGACTCCGACTCCGGTCACAACCGTCGACTCCGACCGACTCCGACTCCGACTCCGACTCCGCAGCCCTGCCCACTGATCTATTGTTTTAACAAAAAGAAGACCTTTGGGGCCCTGTCCCTCACTTCGTTAGCACAAACAATGATTGGGGTCTGGGGGGCCCTGACCGTTAGTCCCGGTTGGACGTCTGCTGTGCCAGGCAAGTGCTCTGCCTACCTCATTAGTGTTCTCATTTACAAAATTAGGGACGTACCCACGGGGGGGGCGGACGGGGCGCGCGCCTTCCCCTTGGGGCATGAGGAGGCCCCCGTATGGAATCAGGGCCCCCGTGGACTGAAGACCCAGGTTGACCAAAATCACGTCGGAGGCGAACGAAATTCACGGGAAAAAATCACGCCAGGACAATCAAGGTCCTCTAACCAGCCTGACAGCTAGGGTCCTTCTCGCTTCCTGGGGCCTCCTGTGAATAACCGTTAGTGTCTGTGTCCGACCGCTAGGGCCCCTCTGACTCCTCAGTAGAGAGGAGACCCTCTGTAGGTAGGAGGCCGTCTGTAGAGAGGAGGCCCCTTTACGAGTAGAGAGGGGGCCCTCTGTAGAAAGGATTGGAGGCCCTCTTTAGAGAGGAGCCCCCTCCCCCGGGATTCCACCGCCCCCCCCCCCCCGCTGGCGAAGTCCTGGGCACCTGCCTGTACAAAGTCAACTCATTTCGTTAGAGAAAGTTATTACAAGAAATAATTTCGCTTTATACGGCCATCATATACCCACTCTCGATCATGACGAAGTGGCTCCCCGGTCAAGCTGCCTACTTAGGTACTCATCCTATCAACCTAGGCGTCAGGTCGGTCGCGCCGGTGCGGTATACATAAATTTGGCGGGCGTCGGCCGTGCCCGAAGTGTTCCTTTCCCTTTCCCCTGCCAACCATGAAAGAAACGCCGTTTTCCCGTCATGTCAGGATGTGCTGGCATAAGCTGACACCGGTTAATTAAACGATCAAAAATGTCAGCTTAAAAATGTCACCCTTAAATAGACGCTGTTTATTTGTGTCAGCCTTTGCTGGAAATTCGACTATGGATGTACATTTTTGTTTATGTGTTAGACGCAATGCGTATCTTGTACCGACGCATGCGTCTTGAGGGGGGGTGTTGTGATGGGGCACGTTTTCCTTTCCCTTCATTTGGTCTCACCCCCCGGTCATATGGAAGCACATAAAAAATAAACAGTTCCATGGTCGCCGCCATCGTGTTTCGGTCGTCCTGTGTCGCTCCAAGGATATCGCCGTGTTAATCGCCACTACCGACCATAACAGAACTGACGCATCGGCGGAAGCGGGAGTCCGCAGCGGAGAAGCCTTCGTGGAGTGTACACGGGTGTGGGAAATGAATGCTAAGTGTATCCAAATTGAAGGCACTGCTCTCGAATGATATAAATACTGAACAGCTTTGGATTGTTTATATTCCAAATGTTTACTTTCAGGACGAGTACTCCTTGTCATTCGGTCGTCAACTCCTCTCTCCGACCCCGGCTTAGCGCAGGCACGTATAACCTAGAATTTGGCCGAGGGGGGGAGCGGAGGAATCCCGTAGAGAGAGCCTCCTACCTACAAAGGGCCCTCTACCCGAGGAGTCAGAGGGGTCCAGGGTCCTAGTGGTCAGACACAGACACTAGCGGTTATTCACAGGAGGCCCCACGCAGTAAATTGAAGGGCCCTAGGTGGCAGGCGAGTCGGAGAGCCTTGATTGTCCTGAGTCCTGACGTGATTTTTTGGGGGATTCCCATGAATTTCGTTCGTCTCCGACGTGATTTTGGCCAACGTTGGCCTTCTGCCTGCATGGGCCCTGAAAACCCCTAGGGGGGAGGCGCACCCCGTCCGTCCCCCCTTGGGTACGTCCCCGGTCGGTCCAGCGACTCCACACGCGCCTACCGACACACAAGAAACTCTTGCCATTATGTTTGCTTCTGACGCAATCACGACAGAATTACGCTCTAATGATATGCATGCTGCCAATTGCCATTGCTTTGGAGTCGGTGTTTTGAATTTCTGCGTTTTTTTGGATCGGCTCCACTCTCCAGACAGCTGGCTCAGCCTAATCGACCAGAGCAATGCGACACCTATACCAACTTGATACCAACCTACTTGGCGGGGTGGTGAATTCATGAAGTGCGAATGCGAAACATGGCAATAGATGGCGGAGCAAACAGCATGGGGAACGCTGGGACGCATATTTACGTCTGGACAACGAGTTGCGGGGAAAAGTGCTGATTGTGTTGCAGTTTTAGGAGCCGGTGATTAGGGTGGATTTTTAGGTTACTTTTTCGTTCCGATTCATGTATTTCATAGTGTTTGGCTTTTGAATATTTTAGTTCTTTCAGATGAAAATTACTTGCTTTACAAATTTTGTAAAAACGTTTCATTTTTCATAAGCCGACGTTCAGAGTCCTAAAAATACATCAGCACTACAATCATTGTAAACAAACAAATGGAGCACCACCACTTGGCTCTGTTCCAAGGCCATATTTTTAGTTTATCTGGTGGTTTTCTTGCTCTTGTACGTCGTTTTGTTGGATGTTTTGAATCCCATAAGATTGACTTATATCATATTTAAGAAGCATGTTGACTGAAAACAATCTGAAGTATCCAGGAGGCTGACAGAGGTCCTGAGTCTGACTACTGAGCAATATCAATATCAAGTTGAACAAGTTATGAAATTTTGGTTGATAAACGCAAGTTGATCGGGCTCATATATCAGCAAGAAAAAGTAAAATTAAAAGAGCTTATTGTCCAAAAACAAGCTATAATATTGCAGACCTTGGAGCAATACTGAAGAGCACGCTGAGCAGGATCATGTCAGAACATGTTGACTGATGAGCGCATATTGATGTATTGGTATGAATATTGAATGATAACTTACAACAGCAAGATAAATTAGTGCTAACTATCAAGTTAAAATCTAGAATGAATGGACTTGGGCAGTTTTACTATGCTTAGATGCTATGCAGATTGTAATGTGCATCAGGTACTCAGTGTCTGGCAAATGAAACATGCGATCATTCCGTTGCTACTGGAGGAGAAAGCTTGGATCACTAAATCCACTTTATGTTGATTTTGATGTTAATCATCATCACTGTAACTCTCGAAAAAAGGATTGTAGTAAAATTGTCAATGTGACAATCCATGCAATGATGTGATCATATTATGTGTTCATAGTCATTCGTGATAGTCATTATTGGTCCAATATACAATGGCAAAGCTCTCAGTCTCAGCGTTTCTTCCTGTGGATGGCCAGCAGTGACTCAGAGCTTAGAAGTATTAGTTTTCTTCACAGGGCTGGGATAAAAAGTACTGAGGGTAATCTTCCACCAAGGAACTCTACTTTGACATGGTATGAGATGTAGGCACAAGTAGGTAGGGGCTCAGTTCCTATAGTCAGTAGTTGTGTATGTTTAGTCGGGTTAGCTTAGATCAGATTGTTAGTTTTTTTTTTAATTTGCCAAATGTCCATAAAAATGTGACCTGAGCAATGAGCATACCTGAACCTGACTAACCTGACAGCTGACCTAACCTCAATCATCACACATATTTGCAGCCTACCCAAGACCTGCATGGCAGTAGCACCCAGTTATAGGTAGGTACTCACCCTAACTCAATCTTACCTGCTAACCTTCAACTTGCCAAAAGTTAGCTCACATTGCCAAGCTGTGTCCAGGGAAACAGTCAACTGAGGAACTGGCTCATTGGGTGGGTGGTGTGAGTCTGTGTATTTAAAGTGTTTCTTCTCTGAAGCTGCTCTGCACTGCTGAATGTCATGTTAGATGCTCAGAAAATGTGGGAAATGATTACTAAGCTACTTTAGTGCTTTGTTAATGCTCGAGACATGAACAAGTACAGATCCTGCAGGGTACAGCTATGAGTTAGGTGCTAGGTGAGTATGTTCTGTGAATGTGCTGTTCCCTGTTTGACCGTAAGTAGGTATACAAACAAGCACAGGGTCACAGTTATATTCAATCTCCACATAAACATACAACAAAAACGGCCATATAGGTACCTAGCCTAACTCCAAACACACCACAGATAACTTAAGCCTTTGAAGGCACAAAAATGTTTTGATTAACAGGACAGGTTTACAATATATCCTCTGTCCTTGGGGGATCTTGCTGCCAAGTTGAGGTATGATGACTGAACTTCAGGATTGATCAACCTTTTCTTAGCCACTGCTTATATACGAGAAAGACCAAATGCTTGTTTCTTTTGATTTACAGGACATGTATACAATATATCCTCTGTCCTTGGGGGATCTTGCTGCCAAGTTGAGGTACGATGACTGAACTTCAGGATTGATCAACCTTTTCTTAGCCACTGCTTATAAACGAGGAAGACCAAATGCTTGTTTGTAAACTGCGTTGAAAATTTAATGATCCACCTTCAATTCTGACATGAAGGCACAAATGAAATAGTTTCCTCTCCTTTTGGAATACACAAAGCAAAATATTTAATAAATTTTAGTGGATGAACAAGAGCAGAGCAATTAGCATAGCTGGCACTGTTGATGAATTACACTGACGCTTATTCGCTTCATATTTTGTAACAAACGCGCTAAAACTGCAATATAACAGCACTATATGCTTCTTGACAAAATACAATAGAATTAAAAATTTAGCCCTGATGGCATTCATACTTGGTGGAAACGTAATTACAAAATATTTTGTAGTAACTATTAAATTTCGGCCGAAAACAGTGCACGGTTTAAAAAAGAATCATTCCAATGACGGTCCATTCTTGCGGTCCTGAAATCGCCACTATTTCCGGCCTCTCCAACGCAACTCGTTGTCCAGACGTAAATATGCCGCTGGGACACGCATTGAGGAATGAAATCCGTCACTTCCCAGATTTCGAACGCATCCTTAGAGTGCATTACTTTTATGTGCTTGCGTTCGGTCTTGGGATTTCTCAGCAGATGTCGCCAACAGTAGAGAGATTGATCTAGAATGTCTCGTTATCGGAAAAGTATGGTAGCCATACACCAAATGGTTTTTGCGTATAGCTACCATATTACTTCCGATATGACTGTTGACATCACTGCCGATATGACGGAGCAGTGCATTGGCAATATGCCAAGGGCAGTAACATGCCGTCAGTCACGTCAGTCATCGGCCTTGGCTATCTGTAAGAATCTTGGCAGGAATCTTGGCCTTTTCTTGGACCCATAGCCTCGGCCTTCGACCAATCATATCGCCGAATTCGCAAGCGGTGAGAGACAAATACGGCGTGCCAAAGACATATTGGGTGTCTCAAAATCACTGAGAACCACAGGGGGGGGGAGCATTCCGGTCTAGGGGTAAGATACTTGCCTCTAGATTCGGCCATCCGGGTTCGATTCCCGGGCGATGCACGTGGCATTGCCGCTACCTGACCGCTTGGAACAGCGTGAGAGTTCCGGTTAGCACCTTGGTCCACTGGATGTGGTGCTTAACCCAAACCAACCAACCAGAACCACAGGGGAGCAATGCCACTTGAACCCTATTGGCCGTAGTGTCTAACGGTGGCGGCCATATTGCGCAGACCAAAAAACGGCTGCCGCCTGTGTTGAGGAATAGGGAATTCGGGACCTCGATTTACGTTTGCGGCCGCCGCATCCGTTACGTTCAAGTTACGTAGATACGGAACCCGGCATCTTACGCAGAATTGAGTGGGGAACACGATCGTATCTTCAGAATTCCTCAAATTCACTCGCCGGACCTACATTTGCCCCGGCCGAGGGGGTTGATTGAACCCAACTCGCTAATGCGCCGCTAATTAAACTAGAATTAAGCGGTAAATTGGTCGTTTGCGACAAAGGATAATGCAGAGTGACTGGTAGGAACCCACTGTAAAGGTCCCGGGTCAACCGGTGACCTCTGAGGTCAGGTCAAGTGATCTAAGGCACGGGTTCGGTTTTTGGTAAATAACTTCGCCAAAAATGGCCGTAGAGCCGCGATTTTGGCATCATCGTGTTCAGCTAGCTCAGGCACATCGAGTGATATACTTTTTGTTCGGGTCAGGTCAACTTAGGATGTTGACCTCAGGTCAAGGTCAGGTCAGCACCGCCAGGTCACGAAGTTGGTTGAAAGAGGTCATGTCGCATATCATTCGATTCGGCAGGTCTTCCTGAGTCCATTGGTGGCTTTCCCGACTCGCTAGCTCAATTTGATCGGGAGTTATTGAAGAAAAACTGTGACCCTTGTGACGTCACAAA